TTCCTTTCCTTCAAAGAGGAACTTTCCTTCTCCATTGAATTCCATGACATCTATTGTACAGGTAAAAAGTATGAGCAAGTCATTTGGATTTCCTGCCTGATACTTGATACTGGGTAATGGCCCTGCTATGCCACAGGGCACAAAGACACCATAAGTCATGGTCAGTACAAAGAAAGCCATTAGAAACACAATTAGTCCTAAATCTGCACTCTAGGGTGGTCCAGACTTGGCACACAGACAGCAGCCATAATAGGCTATGTCTGTATTAACAAGTAATTTTAGTAAGAGAAGAAGGTCTGTTCAGTGAAAGAGCTGGTACTTAGTATTTATCCTGTGTCAACCCTAAATGTCTCTGAAGGGATTTTACCTCACTCTAGCTCTAATCTAATTCTGTAGACCAAATGTGCATTGTTGGTTGGGGCATGCTAGTGTTGATGCTGTAGCCCATCTCCTTATTTAGTTTAATCCAAAGGAGCTCAGTTCAAATCCTCCAAGACCTTTCTCCAGTGTAAGTCAAACAACAAGAAGTATAAACAAGGGATTTGCTTCAAATGTATACTCCTGAACTGGACTGCTAACGCAGATGCAACTGGACCCTCAGTATTGGTGGCATATCCTGGCTGCTTGGAGAAGGGCCATGTGTGCAGATAAGAAGTAATGTTCTCTCCTCTCTCTTTGGGCATCTCTGCTGCTCATTTGGTTACTATATTTTCTCATGTTTTCTGGGTCGAGCAAACTGCAGGCCTGAAGGGATAGTTTTGGCTGTAGAGGGGAGTGAAAGGGTGGCTTTGGTCGGTATTGAAGAATACATCTGGTGCAGGTAGTTCAGTTTGCAAGGTGCAGTTTGGGATGCAAACTGAGATCTGGGTGGGAACTCAGAGAGAAAAGAGGCTGTGAACTGCCAGCCCTTTGGTCAACAAAAGGCACAAACTGGTGGTGCCAGCCTGGGTGGACGCTGAGAGACACAGTAGGAATGGAAGACTCATGAGGAAGAGCCAGACTTGTGCATGGGTAGACTGTGAGGGTATAAAAGCCCAGGGGTTCCTTTGCTGGGGGTCCTCCTCAGAGGCTGTTTCTGTGTTACTGCACTTTATGGAGCTAGAGATCTGAGACTCTACAATGGGAAGCCTGGGGTCAAATCAGTAAGGAAGCCTGGTCTGACTGCATGTGAGTGGGGTGTGTGGGGAGTCAAGCAAAACACCCATCAGCTCACTGGAGTTGAGAAGGGGCTTCGAACACAGCAGTTAAAGTCTCTGGCCTTGGGAGTTTGACTGTCAGAGAGTCTTGTGAATGGTCAGACTGGAAAGTTTCCTTAACAGTGGGCACCTGATGTCCAGCCAGAGTCAGCCCACCACAGTCTTTCAACTCTTTTTGCACTGAAAGACCATGTGTTAAAGAAATCTGCCACATCTTCCATTCAAGCTGGGAAAAAAAAATAAAGGAAGAGATGACTACATCTACGACCGAAAACAATCCCACTGGTATGCACATTGTTTTCTTAGAAGTTACAATCAAAAACCCTGACCTGGAACTTTGCATGGGGCTAATTCATTGTAATCTACCATATGTGTTTTTGTGTTTCTGTGTGTGTGTGTGTGTGTGTGTGTATGTGCGCCTAAACTCTATTGTTATTTCCGTTAAATAACATTCTGGTTTGCATGGGCAATTCTAGACAGCTGAGATGTAGAAAGAGACATCTTTCAGTTTCATCTAAACCACTGTAAACTTTAATCATATGGATATGAACGCCAAAGGTCTAAACTGAAAGCAATCACTCAATTCTAATGAATATGAAAACCATCAGGTTCCAGAATAGTGCTTGATGGAAGGATCAATTTCTTTCCTTCCTTTTCCTGGAAGCAAGGGTGCAAGAGTGGAACACAAAATTCTTTCTAGTGAATTGCATATTTCCATAATCAGAACCACACTGTGATTCTGTTTGTTTTCATTAATCTCCCAAATATTTTCTTTTGCACTGCAGTTATTCCACACCCTCACGTGCATTTCTCCAAAAGACAAGTTCTAGTGATATGTAACCAGTGCAGCACACTTTCTTCCTTTCCCACTATCTGTTTTCATTGGAGATGATCAACTAAGACATTTTCAGGCTATAATACTTGCCACTTATTATATGAGTTCTTCAGGAATTTCCAAGTGTTCAATATTAATCCATATTATAAACTAAATTTTTTTCTTTTTAATTTAATGGTGACAAAGATAACAATGACTACAAAATTTCTTGTGGGAAAATAGGCAGTCCTATGATGTTTTGTCATCAAAAAGGAAAGATAAAACCTTTGTTATTATTTCTTTTTACAACCTCCAATACTTTTTTTTTTTTTCAGACTACAAATTCACAGAAATCCTGCCCTGAAAGAAAAAAAAAAAATATATGGGTTCCTCGTCCACCAGTGCTGCCATATGCTCACCTCCAGCGGGTCTTTGTGCTCTGGCTCACTGCTGCAGCAGGACAGGCATGGCAAGGGGAGGTGGCAGCTCGGTGCAGCCAGGGCACCTCCCAGCATTGCTGCTGATGCCAGCCTCTATCTAACTGCAACTGGAAAATGGCATGTAATATTTATATGTATGTCCCACCCTCTGTGCTGTAGTCAATATCAAATAAAACCAGATATCCTTCGAATACCTTTTCCTGTTACTTGACACCTAAATATTAGATAGAAATACTTTTTGACCTTACTCTTTTGGGTTTTGCTAATGAAAAGCCAGATCAGTAACTAAAAATACCAGAATATGTCTGCCAGACAGGAGCTCACAGAAAGTGCAGCAGGAGAATAGGTCCCCCAAGACATAGGTGACCTGCTTCCAGCTGCTTTTCGGCAGAAGGATTTCAAGTTATCTGTCAAGCCACAAGCTATGCTGAGGTAGATTATTTTATCTGCTGTTGAACTCACTGTACTTTGCATGAAATAAATCTGTTTTCACTAAGCTGCAGAGAAGTGTAATTCCTTAGTCCCACAGCAGATAATAGTTTCATTTATCATTGTTTAGTGGCAAGAAGTACTCTTACAGTGAGCTGCTGCTTAGTAAGAGGGTGAAAATGGGCCTGTGTTCCAGACAAAGTTTGAACTGCAGCCTTGTACCTGTCCTCAGCATCTTCTCTTGTTCCCAACTGCCTAGGGTCAGCATACTAACTCCCACAGGTCTGCGAGTACAAGCTCCGCTCTGCTGCTGCTGAGTCTGAATTTGAGAGGACAAAAAGCTCAACCAAATATTAGTTAGTGGACTGCTAAGCTGAGCTTCAGGTCATCCTGGTTTTAAATGTCTGCAAAAAGCCCCTGGTGACTGACAGCAAATACAGCAAATAGAGAGCAGCCAGCACTGTGAACGAGTCCTCTCATCAGGTGCAGGTGCCTACTTCGGCTAATTTAAATACCTCTCAGCCCTACTGACTACAGCAGATCTTTAGTGACTCTAGTGAGAGCTTAGCAACAGAGTTTATGTGCAGATACCCATGTTACTGCTACTACCTGCAATAAAGTGAGTTTAATCCCCTCCCAAAATTGTTTTTTCATTTCAGACTCAGAGATGTCAGTAATCTTTTCAAAATCATATATTTTTTGTGTTTTAGGAAGGAATTTGGATTTTGAGTTATAGTAGGAAAATGGATATGTATTTCCTAAGAGATTTTCTGAAATATATGCCAAGATGATTTTGTTGATTCTTTGATTTTTTGCTATTGTGTATGTGTGTAAGTGGGTACACATGTATATACATGAAAACACACACACCTATATATTGTATACTTGTGGTAAATAACATATAAATAAGTCTCTTACTTCAGCTTTTACTATACTATCTTAAACTGGAAAGTAATACTAATTTGTTTACTGCCTACGCATATTGGAAGGCTATTAATATTTATGAAATGCATTAAAGTGCTAAGCACCATTGCCTTATTGATGACTCGAAATTGTAACTGAGCTCACATTTTATTATATTGTCTTTTGCATATGGATGGATATTATTCAACTGTGTGCAAAAGGCTTAAGGTTCAAAAAGAAATACAGTAAATACCGTAAATACCTTGCTACCAGAATCACCCTAAATCCAAATACAGAGTATAAGATGAAGTGAGTTGCCACAATCATTATACTTGCATTTGAGATGGTATATAGCCTCTATGGGGTTTTATAACTGGCTCTGTTTTTAAGTAGCTTACCTTTGCAACTCATTTAGTATCAAGATTTCCAGTGCAGCCCTAATTTAGAGGTGAAGGCTGTCTAACTTCCGATGTTTGGACCAGAGATGTCAAATGATCTAAGTGTTGAAATGCCTTTTTACTTATTTAGTAGGAATAAGTTGCCTGAATATCTTCAAGGTTCTCAGATGATACTCCAGGCACCAGAAATCTGAAGATAACATTGATATAAGCTGCAATTTTGTTTAGATGACTCCCAACCAGTCCTGAAAAAAGTTTTTGTGATATCTGAGATATATATTAGCAATACCTTTTAAAACTGAAATACAGAGGAGACAAAAAAGATCAGTTCTTCACAGTTGAAAAATTGATTCTTAAATTTCTTCACTAGTGAAAGATCTTTCCTTAGACATGCATGTTCTGCGAGTTGCTGCAGTTTTGAACGACATGCTTCAGATTCTCCATTTATCTGACATAAGAATGCAGGTGTACAAAGGTAAATATACTAGAAACTGCACCTGCCTTTCTCTGTCTTCTGAATATTGCAAGACATGCAGCCTCTTTACTCTGAGTACTGCATGACATGGAGTAACAGAAATCCTCCACCAAATTATTAAGTGTAAAAAGTAACCAGAGCAAATTTTTTCTAGCAATTTTGTTTTGTAAGCCTGGTGATGGGCAAGGTGTAGCGTAAATGTGCATTTCTAAAGCTGGGCTCAAATCCTAGCATCTCTGACAAATCTTTCTAATGAGGAACACCTTCGGGCTCTCGTAGTTATAGCTAAGTCCATCAAATTTAGACTTATGAAAACAAGTGAAATTAGTTTTTTTTATACTGTACCTGTACAGATGAAACTTGATAGTCCTCCGTAGATGACATCATCGTTGTCTGGTAATATAAAGGGACACCTCGTTTGAACCTCCAAACAGTATTGCTTGCAAGGAATTCTGTTGTTGCAGTGAAACTGTGTGACTTCAAAATACTGGGAACACAGCCAGGCTTTGTAGACAATCTGGAAAAAAGAGAAGAATGAGAAGTATAGATGGATAACAATAGCACTGTCATTATTAGAAGAACATACTGTACTGCACACCTACATTAATGCTGCTTCTGAAAGAAAATTTTGAGAGAATATCACCTGGCTAAAATAAACTCTTAACTTTTGACTGTCCTCCCATTTCAGAAATAAAAACTCCAACCAAGTCGTTTAAAAGCAACAGTTAGTCTGGACTAGGCTTTTGCTATTATATTATCTTAGTTCATAAACAGGTATCTCTTAGACGTGACTTTTTATTGAACATATGCATGCATGGAACACAGCCCTGTCCCTGCACCTTATCATAAACAAACTGAGATAATAACATCCTTTGAAGCCAGTCAAAGACAAATTTCTGAAAGTGCACGCAAGAAAGAGTTGAAAACTGGGCTCAGGCCATCTTTGTTCTTTCTGTCATCGGGTTAAGCTACCAGGTTGCAATAGATGGTGCTGCTTCCCTTCGAATAAAACCTTATCCAGTCTACAGCACTAGTTTCCTGAACATTAGGATTCTTGAACACTAAGAGCTGTAGATCAGGGGATGAATCTGCCAGAGTGAGAATCAATGTCTACATTTGGGAGCTAAAAGGAACACTTTAAAGATGTTCTCATCTGATACTGTGTAGCCATGGCTGCAGGATCTTTGATTATTTCAATTATTATAATAATTTAAACAGAAAAGTAAAATAAACATGCTGATTTTAATTTTTAATGCCTTTTGTCTTCTGAGCAACAATGTTTGTCATTAGAATTGCATTAAACTTTTGGGCACAGAAAAGTTTCCTGAGAAGATAGATTGGAAACCAGGCTACAAAGGTGATAAAAACCCTATGTGACAGAGTACAGAGAGGTTTGCTTGTTCCCATTTTATTTTCCACTTATCTGTTTTGAAGTACATTATTTGCTGTCCAGATACTTGCTATCTAGGTTGTTACATAACAAAAATTTCCTTTTTGTATTCATTCAGAATATCTGAAAATCTTAGTAACTACCTTTCCTTTATCACAGGCTGAAAAGCAATATAGTCAGCTGATCATTTCTCTTCTCTCTAGACCTGTTTCTAATAAAGAAGGAAATGTAGATTAAATTTTGAAGCAGTGAAAATTAAAAAACCCTGACACCTGAAATGAGTAATCTAGATGAGAGTTTGATTTGAATTCAGTATGTTTCATCTCATTGGTTATAATTTGATGAGTGTGAATAATACCAGCTTAAATTATAAAATTAATTCCAATGTAGTAGTCCCAGAATCACAAAATCTTTATTTTAGATTGTTTGCGATAGTGGCAGGTATGAGTAAGGCTGTGAGGTGATAAAGGGAAGCCTTTGTCAGCAATCTATGGTTTGTGATTATCTCTTTATAGCAGCTTTTGCCTACTGCATTCTGTAGAACACGATTTTTTTTCATTAAAAATTCAATTTTAATTGCTTGCAAAGTTTTCTTATCCACAGATTAATGACAAGGAAGACTAGGCGATGTGTGTACTTTTTGTTCTCATATAAACTTCTAGAGAGAAAGTGTTTTTCCTGTTGTTGACTATATCACCCACCACATTTTTGATGCTTTAGTTGCTATATTGACACTTGCAACAATAAATGAAATAAAGCAATTGTTTTTCTATTTTTAATTAGTCAGTGAGCATAGCCTGCTTGTTGGAAACAGGAACACTGGATCTGATAGATACATATTCACAGATGTTCTTTCTTGATCACTAACAGTGTAGACAATCCTCTTGTTCTCCTCATGAAATAGATCTAATAGTAGTATGTTGGGTTATGAATCATATTTGAAATTGTACATCAGTTTTTAGGGAGTGTATTGAACAGTGCACCATACACAGTAACAAGAAAATGAGCAAACCCATGTGTCTACTTAAGCAAGATAAGAAATAAATTTTTATTCAAGAGCAGAAGTAAATAATGCAGTTGTGAGCTTCTGTGAAGATTTTTATGTCTCTAAGCTCAGTTCGTACATATCATCTTCCTACTCTGATTCACAAGTTCTAAGCTTTGGCTCAAAATTACATCTGAATTCTTATCCATATTTTTAAAGAATGCATGTGCATGAGTGTACCTGCTCTTGATATCTGTTTCTTAGATAAATGCCTCTCACTTTGTTTTATTTTTCTCGCAACTGATTTCAAACTTCTCTGTAGTCTATATGGATATTTTTAATATTCCCATATTGCTCCGTTTTGGCCAGGAAGGCTATATGGAGCACCAGAGAAGGCTCACCCATGGTCCTTAGCTGTCAGTCCGCTGCTGGCACAGCTGTGGCCTGTGTTAATTCCTACCTTTCCAGACAGTGCCCAGCCATTGTCTGGGGAAAGGTGTATGCCAACGACCACACCAGTAAGCAGATTTTCCTTTTTTTGGAGAAAAAGGAAAAAAAATGTAGGTGTTTGCGTATGAGCTGTGCTGGGCTAGGTGGTAGACCAGAGAGTAGTCCCTCTCTGTTCATATTTGTACAGACGATTTAAATTACTACTTTCCCAACAAACACCACAAATAACCTCTCCTATCCTTCCTGATCTTTCTAGGCACCAAAGGTTTTACACAGACATCTTAGTTTCATGCTTAAATATGTGCTACCCAAGAGGGAATACAATAGTGGGTGGATTTATCTCATATTTGTACATATCACTCTGCCCAAGCACATTGCATGAGTCCCATGGCTGACCCAACTGAGTAAGAAGATCCAGAGCAGTTTAAAGTCTTTCCTCTGGTTTAATGGTAGAGAAAGGTGGCTTTTTAGCTTAAGTATTAGAAATTCATGATTTGTAACTGAAATGTATTGAAATGTCTTGAAATTTTCCAAATAGTAAAACAGATATTAGGGCCTTTTGTCAGCCAGTATTCCTTCTTATACCTAGGAAAATATAGGTTTGGATTGGGTGGCAATTCTTCTAGCAAATCCAAAATGCTGATTTCCAGAGTCTAAAAACATGTGTTACATAACAAGGCCTGAAACTATCAGTGAAAATACACATTGGCCTGGAGTGTGGTGTTCACTTTACAAACTATGCTTTGATATGAGAGTCCTTTTCCTTCTTAAAGTACATCAATAGCTAATCACAATAAATATTCCTTTTAAAAATATTTCATATAGAACACTTCAAAGTGCTAGTTAAATTCTATTAATATTTTCCTATGTAATTTTCAACATGTCAATGCAAAAGATGGAATGTGGATGTGAGGAGACCATGTGTTAAATAGCCAGAAGCAGGAAAAATTCTCTAGCTCATTTAGTAAAATCGTCTAGAACAAAATTCTTACTCTTTCAAAGCATGCACCTTTTCAAGATTCATGTCAGTAAAACAAATGTATTGGATTACATTTCAAGGAAAGGAAAGAGGGGCTGTGGTAGCAGTAGACATCTCTCTCACTGTATTATATCCTCATTTAAAGGAAGCAAAGCTAAAACTAACTTCCAACATAAACTAAACTAAACTGAGTTATAAGATGGGAAAGATATATGCATTATAGAGAAAATATAAGAATAAACAATTATCAACAGTTTTTTGAAAAAACAAGAGGAACTCTAGTGATTTAAAAAAAAAATAAAAATTCAAAACTTTAGAAGACAAAACAGTCATTTTTATTAACAGACTTTTTACTCATGTAAGTCAGGCTGCCAAAACCAAACAAAAACACAAAAAAGATTTGAGATTTTATGATCTTTTTTGTATTTTGCATACCTATAATGTAGAAAAGAAATAGAATGATCTTATGTTTTTGAGTGGCTTGGGAGATGATTGAAACCTTTGAAAAATCATAGTTGCTAAGAGAAAGCTGGCAGACCAATCTCAAAGAACAGAAAAAACCCCCATATTTTTCTGTTAGTTTTGCTATTACTCTTTTTTAACATGGGACAGAACTAAGATAAACTGGATTATTGATGCATCATGGCAACAACATACATAGAATAAATACTTGAATACATCTAAATATCTCTTTGTCATGATGGCAAGATAGTATCACATAAGAATAAAATCATCTTTCATGTACAGAAGCATAGTTACAAAATCTGAAAAGGATTTAGTGGCAATTTTACTCACCTAAATAAATTAAATCTACCGTACCTTGTCCCTTTATGAAAAAAAATTAAAATAACACTTTCAAAAAACTGCATCAATCAATGCTGGCTTTATATGCCTGTATTCATCATCATGAATGCCTAACCAGATCAATCATAATCAAAATCTTCTTGGTAATTGTGAATTATTAATAATATGATAAAACATATTAATTGGGCAGATTAATTTATTTTTTCTGCTGTACTGTCATTCATTTTATTTCTACTGTACAAGTTTCAAGCCCATATCTGGAAGCAGAAAAAATATTTTATTACTTCAGTGGCTAGTCACCCAACACAAAAAACTAGTTTCATCAATTCAAGGAACAAAAGTTTCACAAACAAACCAGACACTAAACTGCATTTGCTTGTCAAACACTACATGTTATAAATGGGCTGAGGGTTACCACGAAGAAAGTGAGGGGTTTGTAGAGAATCTGAAGAATTTTGAGAAACTAAAAGGCCATATCATATGCTTTTTCTCTGAGGACATTATGAAGAACATTTATTTTTGTCTCTTTGAGGGGACTAGCTGTCCAGGTTTTGCCTCTTTTTAGGATATTCTGTGTCTCATATCACACATGAGGTTAGACCCTGTCTGAAGTATTCTTTCTGACCTTGAAAGGCAACCAGACAGAGTTACTAGTTAATATGATTACATTAACTAGAGAGAGGCCAAGAGCTGCTGCCCCCAGTGTGTACAGTATGTCCAGGTAGAACACTGCATTGACTGACCACGACCCTGGTCATTACACTAGCAGAATTATAACTCTGTGCAACTGTACAAAACTAATTTTAACTAGATGATCACTAAGGTTCCTTCCAGCCCAGGCCATTTTATGATTTTATGTACTAAGACTGCAAAAACAGTTGGAAGAAAAGTTGTATTTACAATCCATAT